TATATATATATATATATATATATATATACATACACAGACATTAATGTGTAATTACATGTGTATACATTTACATATATTTCATACAGTAGTTATTTGATAATTAAATACAAATGCATAGTAGTAATTAATTTGATTTAATTTGATATTTACTTTATATATGCATTAATGATGTAATATATACATTTGCATATATTACATATACATGTAATTTGATAACGGACCTTTTTCACAGACTGATGAAGTTTCCAAATTTAATGTACATTTATAACACTATATTTTGTGTTTTATTACCTTTGCATTTAATTTCAGTAAACTAGTTAAACGCTGCTTTTTGAGTGTTTCCAATCTCTTGATATGTTTTCTTCTAGAAAGTCACAGAAACTCAATCGTGGATTTTGTCTTTTTCTTTTGGAGCAAATGAGAATGCAACTATATTTGTTATAGTTTCTGTTATACCATAAAAGTTTTCCTAACTATGGCGACTTCCACTTTTGATAACCCTGGAAATGTGAAAAGGGTCCGTTAAGTACACTTATTTGTTAGTGTTGCGTAGTGTTACACAGACAACATGTGTGTTCTAATGCATCATGACCTTTTGACCCCTGCTGAAATGAGTTGACCTAAAGTTACCCGTGTTCGAAACTAAACTAGGTTACCCAACTGAATGTAAACCGTGGTAATGTTTGACTGAGGACGGGTCTGTTCGTTTCACACAACACACAGATTCATGACCGACAGTAACCTCTGCCACTGTACCGTATGTGTTTACCGTGTATTTACCGCGTGTTTACCGCGTGTACCTCAGGTAATGTGTGATGCATTCTGCTGCTCACATATGACTTCACTTCAGAGATAAAGCAGTGCCATGAATAATCAGACTTAAATATAATGAATATTAGCAGTAAATGCTGATAAGAGCTGGGTTAGTCACACTGACGTACAGTTCACATATGATGACTTCAAAAACTCACTTCATGAAGAAATCTATTAAATGTCAAGGAATCTCTGACTTGATGAATTTAATGCATTGTCTTTACTATTTTAGTTAAGAAAGCATCATAAAAAATCTGCTACATTAAAGTATTTGTAAGAAGGTCATGAATAAATCTCATAAAACATGTCTGGCTCATATTTCACCCCAAAATCAGCAAGAAAGAAATTGATTACTTAAATGTTTAGACATCAAATAAAACATAAAGAAAATGCTTTACTATAAATGCTTATTATTTTTTAATTTTATTTTATTATTCTCAATGGTGAATCATTTATTCTTATTGCTCTCACTTACTGTAATACAGTTTTACTTTTCAAGTAAAAATTACTTTAATACAATTTTTTATTTAAATCATCACAAATTAATGTCAGTGCTATAAATAGCACCATGATCTATAAACACTACAATTAAAAATATTTCATTATTATTATTTATAATAATGTGGGAGGAAATGTGATTATCATGAAAATATCAACATGTAAACAAAATAAGTTTTCCTTATTTTTAATTTATTAATTAATTTAAAATAAAATAAAAAACTAAACTAATAAAATAAATAAATATATAATTAATATAATATATATAATATAATATAATAAATATAATAAATATAATATAATAATGACCTGGACATGTTTTTGACCGATTTTGTGAGATTTGCCTTTTATTAATATGCGTTAAAAGTAAGTCTCCTATAACACGCCTTAAATCTGTACTAATATCATATTAATCACTGAATATGAATCTTATTTATCCAGAAGATACAGAATGCTGATGGCTACTCACCGTCAGCTGAGCGTCCGTGTTTCTGTCAGCGCTGACTGTACGTGTGTTTATATCTGAGCTTTGCTCCTTCATGTCATCAGTGTGTCAGCGTTCAGCTCCACAGCACGATCGATCTGTTCAGACACTCATTCTGCCCTGCTGACCCCGCGCTCATCTCATAATAACTCAACAGTAACCATCACTCGACATATATGCACGAATATGTGTATGACTTAGACATGATCACAGCCAGTCTCTAATCACACATTCTAATCATTCGTGCGCTTGTAGGTCAGACGCACTTGTTGACTTGTTTAGACATTGACCCGTCCTTAAATTACCTTTATCTCTCAGTTAGAGAGATGATATCATTATTATTTTTATTTGTTTATTACTATTATTTGAATGACACAGGTTCAGATATGGACACTTGATCCAATAAATGACGTTCACGTCAACATCAGTTGTTGATTATTCATCTATAACTATATTCTTCAGTTACAGTATATTCTGTAACTATATATATATATATGTATATTTGTCTTTCATTAGAATGTCAGCTCATTTGCATGGCACCATTCATAAATGCATTGTATAAATGCATTATTAAATTAAATTATTGAATTAAAATTTAAATTTACTTTAATCAATACATCGTATAAATGCATTATTGAATGCAATTATTCATTTAATTTAATATTTAATTTAATTTAAATGTTTAATGGCAAGTTCTGCAACAGATATGTAATTAGAATTTATATTTTATGATGATTTTAGCATTTGTTTTCATTAGAATATCAGCTAATTTGCATGATCTTTAATCAATGCCTTGTATAAATGCATTATTAAATTATATTAAATTATTAATTTAATTTATTTTGATTTGATTTAATTTAAACGTTTTAATGGGAAGTTCTGCAACATATATATAATAAGAATTTATATTTCATGATGAATTTACCATTTGTTTTCATTAGAATATCCGCTAATTTGCATGGATTCATTCATCAATGCATTGTATAAATGCACTGTTGAATTAAAAAAACACTGGTATTCATAGACTGGATT